ACTGACTTTTACATTAGAAGATTTTGCCTTTTCCTGGCGGTGCTGAACCGTAAAAATGTACAGTCACGGTCCACCTTTTCAATTGTTCCTTCTCATATTTGCATTTACTTTTGACTCATTCATTAGATGTCTTTTTTAAGAGGGAACTACATTACAGTCTTCATGGGACACTGATACAGAAATCCAGTAGCCTATAGAGATCCGTTTTCAGTGGCAGCCATTGTAGCAACGTCATGGTGATTATTTAACTTATATTGCTGCTCATCTTAGGACATTGTTGAACACTGACATTAGCTTTAACACATCTTGTGAACCAAACAGTGCAACACGGTGAAGCTCTGACTCTCTGTGGCTTTAGGAACAGTCAGGAAGAGTTATAACCCCTGTCCAGAAATGGTTGTTTCCCTCGTATCTCTGATTAAAACATTAATCAGACCTAAACCTGCAGCCTTCTGTGGCATTGATTAAACCATCTAGTTAGGATACAGATGGACTGGAGGAGCATGGACGCTGATGTTGCATTACATCTACAGGGGAAACAGGGGCAGTAATGTTGGATGAGAAATGTGTTGTTCAGTAGGTTCACATCAGCACATTCTGCTCTGACTCGGGTGTGTTTTCTATCTTTATTTGTTCCCGTTTGTTCGTGTACGACTACCTCATCCTGCTTTTTCTTCTTCTGCTTTATTTTTTATGCTAATATGTGATTGTATGTGGACATGTGTACTCTATATCCACTTGTGATTGCATGTCATCCCCAACCAGGGCATTAATCTGCGGATGTTGCAGCCTCCACACTTTTGGTTTCAGGCATTCCACAACATTTTGGAACCTGGTTTAAGGGATTTGCTCCCATTTGGCCTCAAGAGCATCACCGATTTTGGGAGATAAGGTCTGGTTTTTCAATTAATTTAAAAGGTGTTGGATGGGGTTGAGGTCAGGGCTCTGTCTAGGCCAGTAAATGATCTTCCACACCAAAAAACATTTCTTTATGGACGTGCCTTTCTTCACGGGTCACTGTCATGTTGAAGGAAAAGGTCTTCCCCACGGATTAACCCCAAAATTGGAAGCACACTTTATGTCTAAAATACTGTATCATGTATGTTGTAGCATTAACATTCCTCTGAACTAAGGGTCCCAAAACATAAATTACAGTCCCATACCAAACATACAGAAAGTATATGGCCCAATGTTTCCACATACATTTGGTCATAGAGTCTATGTCACTAACTTGATTATGTGGAAAAAGAAAGCAAACGCTGTTTCAGCATACTGTCCAAAATCTCATGTCCATTCGGAGGGTTTTTGTGCACATATTTACAGAAGTTCCGTGCCACAGAATACGGGATACACCACCACGACCTACCAACACACAAACACAACAAAACACACTGACGTGTGTTCACAGGCTTGCAGATGTGATGATACTATTGTTCTTGCCTTCGCAGAGTTTAATTGCAGCCACGGTAGCAGTCAGCCACTCGTCGTGTTGTGAAACCAGTCATTTGCGCAGGAGTGCATCCAAAATCAGCAAACGGCACATTACGCCGATATTTCCAATTCATCTAACAGGACTGGCAATTTGTGCTCGCAGGTGCTACTTTGGTTTAACCGCATTCTGCGAAGCATAATTCACCATGTGATTGGCTTCATTGTTGCTGCACTCTCATTTTTCTCCTGGCTGTTTATGCGTCTGTCTGTCCAGCTGAGATGGCTGGGCGGATGGATGGATGCAGGAATGGATGTCATGCTCCCCCTCGAGGCTGTAGGTAAACACAGGCACATCCAATATGGACGCGTACTCACAGGAAATGTTAACTTTGTGATTTAGTTTGAATTTCAGACATCCGGCTGAAATCCTTGAAGCTGGAGAGCTAAATATCGTCGCGCTCTCTCTCCCATTGACAAGTAGGCACATATAGCTCTGTCTGAAACTCAACCCTCCTTTTGTCATCCAGTTGGGGGTGTCTAGAGTGGCACGGCTTGTTTACAGCACAGCAGAGTTAATTAGCCATTTTATGGCTGATTTACAGCCCGAAAGGCAGACAGAGAAGATGGCCGCTGCCTTGTCCTTGTTGCCGACTCAAGGACTTATAAAAAGGGGGGCATTAAACACACAACGCATGCACGGGCACGCAGACAACAAGTCTGTTTGAATTGAACATTTTGTATGTATGTACACATGCACGGTGGTGAACCGAAAGAAAAGTACACCCTCACACACACTTGTATATTCAGTAGACTCTAAAACTTAACACAGTGCTGAATATTAGTTCCTCTTTTTATGTCCCAACATAATTCCAATGTCTAGACTGATTTATTAGGCCACAACACTCACACACACACACACACACACACACCCGCACACACACAAATGTAACCCAGCTCACCTTGACCAGTCTAATCTCACTAACAGAGGAGTCGTGGCTTCAGGGGAGAAAGAGCTGGGAGAACACCTCCTATGACGCACACTCTCACATGGATGCACCCAAACAGAACACAGGTTCAGTTATGAATAGGCTACAGCCACATGCTTACAAAAGATATTGTAGTCAACAAATAACCGAAGCCGCTCTGAAAACCTTTCTGAACTCAATTCAAAGTGACGTAGTGCTATAAAAACATGATTTTCATATTGTTTGTTCATTTGCCTTAAATGCTTTTTACTTTACATGTCAAAGCAGTTCGCAATCTAAAGAGTTTAAAAAGAAAAATCGCTTGAGAGTGAAAGTTGTTAAATGTTAAATCATTCTAAAGTTAGATGAAGTTAGCTTCAGCTGAACCCTTTGCACAGAAATGGGACTGTTGATTGTGTTCTCAGGATTTACACTAAAATCAGTTCAGAAATCTATTAGCAGCCATTAAAGACAATAAAGCAAAATGTGCCGCATCTCTTAGGATCTACGGATGTTTAAAGGGGCTACATTATCTCATCTGAAGCTGACAAAGAGTACAGAGATACCCTCGCTCTCTCCCCACACCTTCTCACCTCGGCCCTTTCAAATCTAAGCTGACATCAGCAGGAAGCTAACAGCGACGCTCGCGAGCACACACTGTCATCCGAGCAGCATTAGCATAGCGGTGACAGCTAACAAGAGAAGACATCACCTTAGCCGGCACGGCGGCGTGCTAGCAGAGCAGTTTGCCGCTGCCGGAGCGCCTGACTGCGCTGATGTGGCTACAGGTGTGGTATTCACTCATGCTTAAAGAGGCTGACACTGGCAAGCGAGCAGCCGGCGGAGCACTAGCACAACACCTGACAGCTGGTTAATGTCAATGTGCAGCCTTTTTTTTTTTTATCAGCAACAGGAGAGAGGACACAGAAGTACAGGAGGTGTTTCAGTTTAGGTAGAGGTAACAGAGTGTGGAAGCCATTGACATTTAGGGAGGTTTGCTTCTCTTTCTCTCCTTTCTTATGCAAATGTTTCAGTTTTGCGTCCTTGTTTTTGTTTCTATTGCTGGTGTTGTGGCTCTTCATGCATTTTTCTTTCTTTGTTCCAATTAATTTACATTGGGATTTTCTTAAATCTCTCTCACATCCTTTTTATGCTTCTTTTTCTCTATGTTTTTTTATATTTTAAAGCGTATCCCTATGCCATTGATGCCGTAGTGGGATAATTGATAGCAGAGAGTGAAAAGAAACATATAAAAGTAACACGTGCTACAGTTGCATCCTCGACTTCTTGACGAAGTCTATCGTTTTTTTTTTATTATTATTTCCTTGCTCTTCCTTCCTACGCTTACTTTTGCATTGGCTGGATTTTCCCACGCAGATGCACGAAGGTTCATTTCATGTGTTTCATCTTAGCAGAAAACCCTCTCAGGTTATACACAAACCGAAGTTTTCCTCTCCTGTAAGGGTCACAATCTGCAGCCCAGATTCCTGCACTGCCTTCTCGGCACTGGTTCAACCAATCAGAGGTGTGTGTGTGTGTGTGTGTGTGTGTGTGTGTATGTGTGTTTGGCGGGGGCTGCACCAGGCAGATTCTTTACACAAACAACAAGCAGCATACTGATGATTAGAAGCTTGGCGCGTAATCGGCCAGAAATGAGTTTGTTTTGCGTGAAACAGGTGGCCACCCCCAAGCTAAATGTAGAAACCAAAGCACATTGACATGTCTGTAGTGAAGTGGAAAGAGCCGGGGAACAGGGCTTTTGATGAAGAGGGAAGGGTAGATGAAGGTACAGTGAGCATGCTGTTATCGCTCCTCATAGCAATGTCGGTGTGCCTTTTTGTGTGGGAGTATCATCTAGTATGTATGTTCCCGATATGTTTTTCTGTTGTTTTTTTTATGTACTGTATTCTGTGTTTGTGTTTTCAGTCGGGGTGTTTGGACCTCATGCTGATAAAGGCCTCGCCATCTGCCTTTGTTCATCTGACATTTCCTCATTAATGAAGTTTGCACCGCCCTCCTCCCATCTGACTCCCTCCATCCCCCCCCACTACCTGCCTTTCCCCTACTCCTCTTCACCTTCCCCCTCTTCTATCACCCCTTCTTCTTTGATATATGCCCCACACCCCCCCCCCCCCATCACTCATTCGCCTCATTTCATCCTTTTCTCTTGTCTTTCTCCGCTGTCCTGCTTTCTGTCCCTCTTTTTACTTTGCGCCCACATTTTTTCCCGTTCCTTACAGTCTTCCCCGTCGCTCTTCTATTCTCTTTTCTCCATCCGTCCTTCAAACCTTCCTTTCCTCCTTTATTACATGTAGATATTGGTTAGAAAAGCCGGCATGTACCATTTGGTTGCTGGGCAAAATCTGTCATCCAGATGGGTGCAAGGGATAAATTGAGCAACCCTCTCCCTTTGTTCAGTAACTACCATTTAAGAGGCCGTTTAACCTCCAGTTGGTCGCAGTAGAGCTGACTGTAGGTCACTGTGGTCCAACTGTACTAAATAATAATGTCTTTTTCATTTAAAAACTGTTTACTCTGTCCAATATTTCTCTCAAAGTAACATGTTGAATAAAAAAATCCTTTCTTTTTTGTCTCACTCTATAGCAGCTGATGAGAGAGCGGCAGCAGATGGCCAGTCGTCCCTTTGCTTCGCTAAATGTAGCGCTGGAGGTGGGCGGTGACCAAGAGGAGCTGCTGCAGGTTAGCAAAAAAAGACACAAACACGGGCGCACACTGAGATAAACACACACACACACACTGTGCTCATATACACATCCATGCAATTAAGCAAATGTTGTTTTTGCCCTCTGACCCTCTGCCACGACTGGTGCTGTGAGTGTGTGTGTGTGTGTGTGTGTGTGTGTGTGTGTGTGGGCGTTTTTTGGGTACACAACAGGATTCTGACTCTGTCAAGTCTAGCAAGACTGCTAGTGCAACAAGTTGCTTTGAGAAAAGTTGCATTTATGGCAACTTATCTTAATCCAAATACCCTGCAGAGGTTGATCAAAAAATATGTTTTACAAAACAAATGTGTTGAACAACCTGTGTGGGCGGACCATGGATGTGAATTGGTCTATTTTTGCTTTCCCTTGAAAAGAAAATGACTCTGAAAACCACTGAGAGAAGTCTGTTGTGATTCATCAAAATGGCAGAGGTTCATAAATTCAGTTCGACATAATTTGGTTTGCTTGGGAGGCCCAGAGCCATCCCACAATGCAGTGCACAGCCAAGTCAACATGGACTCTTGTCGATTCAGAAAGAATAGCAGCAGCTATACCATTGTTTCCTGATTAGTCGCCAACAAACACAGGGGGCTGCAGTGGTTACAGACCAGACACTACAGCCGAGTGTTTTGGAATCAAATCGTGTTCAACCACATGCACAGACAAACACAGAATCCTCAGGCTGATCTGAGAGTACTGAATCACCGGTGTCACTGACCAAATCATGTTTTGCAGTGGAGCTCCTCTGGTGAATGGAATGAGCCAGAAACAATCAACATGCAGTTACTCTGTTGTAGATAGGTGGTTTGTAGCCTGATAAACAGCTCTTATATAGGCAAAGGTTCCTACTAAACTCAAGGAAACCGTTTGAACCATCAACAGAATGAACAGCGACGCAGTCGCTTACTGGTGTGTGTACTGATTTGTTTTTTCACAGAGATGCGGCTGTTAAACTGTTTAGAGATGTAATGTGCAGCCCACGGTATCTGTAAATTGATTGAAGGCATGTGGGTCACAGTCAACAAGTGTCTTTTTGGGTTGTTGGCGGCATCCTCAGGCGGGGAGGTCTGCAAGAAAACAATTTTTGTTTAATAAATTTAACGTCAATGAGGAGCTTTGCAGGTGCAGACAAACAGCGCTCGTCTCAGCGACGTCCATATTACGAAGGAGAAGTTCTGACGTCAACAAAGGTGGAAGGCCGAGGGGAGACAGTGCAGCTGGTTTCAACAGCCAACTTTTCACTTAGCTGTCCTGTGTGAGAACAGAGGTGCTCTCTTGGATTCTCCAACATGCGGGCACCTCACCCGCCAGCCATGAAGGGCCCTCGGGAGGCAGTGTGGGTCCTAAGAGAGGCAGCTGCCCCCCCCAGAGCACATGCTGCGACATGACAGTGGTACTTTGGGCTGCATGCTTGTATGAAAGGTGCAGTAAATATAAAGAGTTTACCAGACTATTCCCATACCAGCCATCTTAAGAGTATTGTGTTGAAGTTGTGTCCACTCGAGGATTTGCTCACTATTTATTAGGTTGTGAGTGTGATTGCCGTACGCAGAGCAGTTGTCATTTGGTTGAAAAGGCTCATCCTGATTGGCTAATGTATCGTTAGCTAGTTTGCATGAATATGCAGGCAACATGTTGCTACACTATGACTGATCACACTTTTCCATTACGGCCTAGGAAACTACCAATGTGTCATATTTCAGGGGTTTTTCCACAGGAAAGAAGTGTTGCTCGTTTAGTTGATTTACTGTAACATTGTACAGTTAGAAGTTGTTTAGTGATAGATGATAGTAATCTCATTACACAAGGTCCATGAAACAGCTAAATGGAACACACTCCATTTGTCTGACCTTGCCTTGATGTAACTCATTTCAACGTATTAATAATCCTGATGGAAGCAATGCATCATGGGAAGTGAACTATTACCTCCCTGAAGCCACAGTGGAGCTGAGTGACAGATGTTGCAGAAGATTGGCAACCGGTCAGAATGAAAGGCGACAGAACAATCACCCTCATTAATCAAACTACATACAAACAAGTGTGCATGGGTCGCTTTGTTAGAGGAAACAAAGACCTCCAGTCCATATTCAACATTTGAGTTCATCCAGAGGCACACAGACTTGAATATTTCCAAATTTTGTTTTTCCGAATTTTACAATATTTAGCATTTTCACCAGTGTGATTTTCAAAGAACTTTAAAAAAAATATAGAATTACATCTCTTTGTAAATCAAGCCGGATCATATATCATTTTTAATTTGGATGGTATGAGAACAGATTTTTTGGGGCATCTCAATAATAATAATAATGTGATGCATTTAAAATGATGATGCACCTTCATAGTTCAAGAAGCAAACAACACATATACTTTTTTAATTATTGTGTTCAAATAACAAGTTAATGTTTCTCTTTCAGTATATATGTTTTTATATTCTGCTAAACATAATATGATTTTTTTAATCCTCCCTACCCTCTTACCTGGTAACACAAAGTCCACCTCCATCTAGTGGTCCTCCCTGTTTGAGGTTCCATCTCATCACACAGTCTGTGCTGAAGGTTGCAGAGACAATGGTATGGAAGGCTATCTGCACACGATGCTTAATTAGTTTTAGCTCTGTTTTTGACCAGGTTGAACTCGGCTCGGTTCAGTTCGGTTTACGTGCCCGCCGAAAACCTCAGGAGTACCTTTCCTTATCTCTGCCTCAGCCTGGTTTCCCTTTCATGCTTGAAGGTGAGAGACAATAGGGAACGCCATCTTCACACTGAGGTTAATTACACAACATCTGGTTCATAGTCGAGCATGCAGCTTAGCATAATTGTGTAATGAATGAGGGAAAGGGAACATTTCCATGCTGCCCTGCTATGTTATGTTGTCCCGCTTACGCAGAGCTACAGAGTATGTTTAAACAAATAGAGCCATCATCACCCTATTTCATGGCACGTTTAGACCGCGAAGCAAGGAACACAACACCTGTTGTTTCTACACACACACACACACTGTGATTTGGTCTGCATGAAGATATAATTGCATGGAAAGCAGTGTGGTGTGTTTAATGCATGTGGAATGTGTTATTTATTTATAAATAATGCATATATTCTGTCTTCCATTGCTTATCTCCTTTCAACAAATAAAAAGCAAAAGTGAGGAGCCTTTTCTGCAACTTCCCTCCTTTCCGTCCCTAACACATAACAATTCAATACAAAGTAGTGCAAACTATTTGCATATTAACATCTAAAGAAACAACGTACAGAGACAATGAAAGAAAGAAAGATGTATATAAATTAAATGATATATTCAATCATTGTTATTTGGGCTATTTGAACACTAGGTGAAGCTTGTCAGTTTTCTGTCAGTCCAAATGCATACGTCTGTCTTTAGTGTCAAAGTCCTGCGTTGTGTTTGCCCGACATACGGCTCGACCACCTCGACCACCTAAAATATGCTTCCTTCACACGAAAAACATCTGTTAACATAATCTAGGCACCAACTACATTTCCCACTAGAACGTAATTGGGAGAACAAATTATTGTTATACAAGCATCATTTGTAAAGAGAGGGTTGACATGTAAGCATGTATGTTTATAGACGCTCACATATGCTGTACTGCGGTGCCCACCCACTATCCGAGTCATGATTCATGTCCTCTCTCACCACATTGCGTTGCCATATGGGTAAATACTGTATCTTCTTGCAGAGTAGAGGAAGACGCCATCCTCTGAGCTTCCCTCTTGAGTTTCCTTTCAGAAGCTGCAGTTCGCCGCGTCTGTGTTCACACCACAAAGACTTTTACTCTGTGGGAACAGACACTTTCAGGATCCATCACAGCACTATAAATTCATGTGGACGCGTGGCATGCTCAGAGTCCCAAGGATACATAAAAGATGCTCTCCAGATGGTTTCTGTCGTCTGAAGACTTGCAATTATAGGTACTTTTGAAATGAGGTTCTTCTATCATCTCTATTTGAAGAAAACTCTCCTGTGGCGAGCTTTCAGGGCGCGGTTAATCTTTTATAATGATACTGACTGTCTGTCACAGCTGGAAAGATGTTTTTTTTTTTGTACTTCTAAAGACTTACCATCACATTCTTCAAATAAAAGGCAAAAAAACCAAACGTGACAATCTTTTGTAACTGGAGAAAGTTTTAACATGGCGAGGTGTCTGGGATGGCTCCATTTACACAAACTGCATGTGTCACAGCTGGAAGTAAATGTGTTGGCCTTCACTGACGACTCAAACGCTGAACTCACGGCAAGTTTTTTTTACGGTTTCTAAATTCAAGGAACTTGTTCTCTTTTTTTTTGTTGCGATAGTTGCTCGCTGTTATGCTGGTTTCATACTACTTAAAAAAGCCGGTTTAGCCAAATATATATAAGAAAAGATTTGTAGTAGTGTTGGTATCATATTGGCCATCTATTGTTTGATTTTGTTTCATAATGTAATTATATATTCACCTGAATTGTATTTGATTAGAGGCAGAAATTAAGTGTGTGTGTGTGGGGATGATTTAATCTATTTATAATTTACAAGCCATTCTCAGTGTATTCTTTTAGGATACACCTTTATTCATAGGTTCATTTCAGAATAGTTTCCTAATACTTTTCATGGCGTTTCCTGGGAAATTATAACTTTCTTCTTTGTTTATGTTGAATTGTTTGCTTGCCTGTCGACACATTTCGTATTTTTGAGATTTCAGTTGACCTGCTGTGCATCGACTGAAAGACTTCCCAGGTAACCTCGCAGTGAATTTATTTGAAATGTGCCAAACAAAAAGCACCTTTTACCCCAAGAATTCATTCCTAATGGCGTTACTCTGTTTTCATCAAACCAATGCTTCACCTCGACTGACGGTCTTCTCCACTGAGTCATCACTTCTTTGGGTCAAAATTAAAGATGGAGCACACGTGAAGTATAAAGATCCACGTGTTTGTGATGTGTTTAGTAACATGCTTATGATACCGCCTCCTGCTTCTTGTTAA